TATGCTCTTCCTGAATCACCACTTTATCATTATATAATAACATTTTTGTCTTTTGTGGCAGATTTTGATTGAATTCCTATTTTGTCTAATATAAGTATAGCCACCTTGCTCTTTTTTAGTTACCTCTTTCAGAAAGTGTTTTTTCTGTCTTTTAACTTTCAGCCTATAAATGTCCTGAAAGCTAAATTGAATATCTTCTAGGAAGCACATTGTTCAACTTTTTAAAAATATATTCAGCTATCCTGTGCCTTTTGATTGGATAATTTACCTATTTACATTTGAAGTCATTAATTAAAGAACTTACTGCTGACATTTTGTTTTCTGACCATTTTGTGGTTTCTTTGTTCCAATATTTCTCTTGTGTGGTCTTACTTTGTGACTTCCTTATATTTTTAGTGGTATGCTTTGATTCATTTCTCTGTTCTGAGTACCAGAGGGTTTTTGTTTGTGATTACCAGGAGGACGATATACAATATTTGCTGTAATAGCAGTCTATTTTAGCTGATAACAACGTAAGTTCAATCACATACAAAACTACATACTTTTGTTTCTCTCCTCACACATATTTCATGCTATTTGTGTCATACTTTATACCTTTTATATTGCGTATCTATTAATAAATTAATGTAGCTATAGTTATTTTTAATCCTTTTGTATTTTTACTCTTATACTAGAGTTAAATGTGATTTCTGCATCACCATTACACTATTACAGTATTCTGAACTTGAATATGTATTTAGCTTTATTTATAAGCCTTACGCTTTTACATGTTGTTAAACAACAGGTTTTCATGTTGTCACTTAATATTCTTTTGTTTTAACTTGTACAGCACCCTCTAGCATTTTTTTATAAGGCATGTTTAGTCGTGATGAACTCCCTTGGCTTTTGTTTGTCTGGGAATGTCTTTATATCTCCATTTCTGCAGGATTGTTTTGCCAGGTATAGTATTACTGGCTCTCAGGGGTTTTTTTTCTTTCAACGCTTTGAGTATATTATCCTACTTCCTCTTGGTCTGCAAGGTTTATGCTGAAAAAAATCTACTCATAACTTTTTCAGGTACCATTGTATGTGATAAGTCACTTTTCTCTTGCTGCTTTCAAAAGTATTTTGGTATTTGACTCTTGACAATTTTATTATAATTTACCACAAAGTATTCTTTTTTGGATTTATCTTCCTTAGGTATGTTTTAGATTCATAAATCCAGATGTGCATATTCCTTTTAAAATGTAGAAGGTTCTCAGTCATTATTTCTTTAAATAAGCTTTCTGACATTTTCTCTCTCTCCTCCTTCAGGGACTTAATGTATATGTTTGTTTGTTATAGACTTTTCATATGTCCTATATGCTTTCTTCACTCTTTTTCATTTATTTTTCTCTTTTTTTTCTCTAACTGGTTAACTTCAAGTGACCTTTTAGTTAACTGAATCTTCCTTCTGCATAATTGAGTGTGCTGTTGAAGTTCTTAATTGAATGTTTTCAATTCTATTATTGTATTTTTTATCTCTAGCATTCTAGCTTTTTATGGTTTCTATTTCTTTTTTAAACTTACTTTGTTCTTTTTTTTTTTCCTAATTGTGTTTAATTTTCTGTGTTCTCTTGCATCTCATTGAGCATCTTTAAGATGATTATTTTGAATTCTTTGGCAGGTAATTCATAGATCTCCATTTCTTTGGGGGATAGTTACTGGGGCTGTGTTGATTTCCTTTAGTGGTGTTATATTGCCTGATTCTTCATGATCTACATAGCTTTACATGGATGTCTGTGTATTTGAAGGAAGAAACAAACAGCTCTTCAGTTTTTACAGACTGGTTTTGGCAGGTAAAGATCTTCTATTGTTAGGTCCCTCGGACTTAGGAGATTGCCTTCAGGATCACAGTTGAGTGGTGTTGGAACCAGGTCATATGGCTGCTGCTGGATCCACAGTGTAATCCATGATCACCAGGCCTGTTATTAGTAGTTCAGGTAGACATACATGAATCCTGTCTGATACCTGGGTGGATAAAATTTCCTCCAGGACCTTAGTCAGTAGGGCTGATGTTGGGACAAGAGTCTATTTCATGGTCTGCCATTGGATCTCTAGATAGTGGAACTGTTACCAGATGTCTCTGGCTGGGTCCCTGGGTGAACAGGACTGCTCCCAGATAGCACCTAGGAGGGATCAGAGGCAAGACACAAAGCTGCTTCATAATCCATGGTCAGACCAGTGTCAGCAGTTCTACCTCTGAAGTCACAGACAGTCATGTCTCCCAAATGATGCCACAGGCAAGACTGCTCCTGGACCATGCTTGAAGGGGCTGGAGTTGGATCATGCACCACTTCAGGGTCCATAACCTGAACTGAAGTTGGCAAACCTGCTACCCAAGTCCCAGGTGCTTTTGGCTTTTCCTGTGTTTCTTAGCAGATGATTCTGGTGTTAGAATTAAGGCCAAATAAAGTTGTAGCTGAATTCACAGGGGTACATAGCTGTTTTTAGGTTTATAGTCAGAACCATGGTCAGTAAGCCTGACAGATGGGTGCATATCTGTCTTTTCAAAATGGCACTACTCAGTCTTGGGCTCCATCAGGATTTCACAACCTCCTACCTGGATGTCAAAGCTCCCACAAAGGCAATTTTGTCCATGGATAAATATTGTTGCTGTGGTGGGATATGAGTGAGGCGCCTCCTATTTCACTGTTTTCCTGATATCACTCTTTCATTTGTTATTATCTATAGTTTCAGTTTTTCTGTAACATTTTTAAATTTTTTTTCTTTTAATTCATTAAACAGTTACACCATGGTTATTTTAAAGTCTGTGTCTATTTATTTCATTATCTCTATTTCTTACCAGTTACTTCTATATTCTCTTCTGTTGGTTTTTAATCATGTGGACTGCCTCCATGAATTACTTCACTTTTTATTGAAACTATAAATGAAATGTTATGAAAATGTAATGACGTTAACTCCTTCTAGGAAGGATGTACCTTCTGCAAGCATTTCTTTTACTGCTGTATAATCCTTTATCAAGGGTTACTCAAAAAAATTAGCAATTGGCTGTTCTAATTTAGCAATTATCCAGGACAAATAAGTGCTTGACTAACTTAGTTAATCATGCAAATTAAAATTTGACATTTAAGAGTATTCTTTATTGATCTATTTAATAACTATATATTATAAAATATTTTAAAATCTATGCAGCTAGGAGAGCTAGTAATCATAGATCACTTAGATCCTTTTACAGAAATAAGGATGACTTGATCTGGGCTAAGGTTTTTTGAAGAGTTTTTCTACTTATTGTTCAATCTTTTTTCCAATGATGTAGGCTTTCAAATTCCAATCCAAAGGTGGGAAATTTACTAGTGCTATCCTTTCTTGATAAATTCTGCATACCAATATTTTCCCATAGTCCTACAAGTCTATCTAGGTTCTGCTCAGTTATTTCCCTCTAACCCTTTTTTTCTAGAATTGACAGGTATCTGTTGTTGGAATACTACTCCTAGTGTCAGGCTCACTTCTCTTGAGTTTTTATCTATCCCTGAATCTGACTTCATAATTCCTCACTACCTGTTGACTCTATGTGCTTTCAAGCAATTTTGTGTTTATATTTTGTCCGTTTTTCTAGACATTCTAGATGATCTGCATTTTTTGGCTGCTATTTCTAGAAGCTTTTCTCTATTACCATTTGCTAAAGGTTACTCAAAAGAAGTATAGTTTTCCTGTTTTAATTTAGTAATTACATAAAACAAACAGAAACAGTGACTGAACAATTTTATTTAACTCATTTTTGCAAAGAACTTATTTTAGGATACTTTCTATTATCTACTTAACATTTATTAAGGGCTTACTATGCACAAAGTACTGCTTCAAATCATGAGCATACAGTAATGAAAAGACACACAAGTTTCTTACCTCTTAGCACTTAGTCACTGGTGTAATATAAAAAACAAATCAATAAGAAACTATATAACTTCAGATTATCATAAATGGTATGAAGAGAATAAACCACGAATTGTTATAGAAAAGTAAATTACAATATAAAACTTAAACATTAAAAAGAATACCTTGTGCAAAGTGGTGGGATAATGGTGTCCAGGCATAGGTAACTAGATAAACAAATACCCTGAGGAAGAAAAAAAAGCTTGCTATATTAGCAGATCATGGCTAAACTATGATGTGTGAGCAAGGGATTAGTATAATTTGAAGTTGGAGAGGAGCACAGAGTCTGGATCATGTAGAACCTTGTAATCTATAGTAAGAACAACTCAGCTTTGTTCTATAACTTTTTAAAATAGAAGATCATATGAGTGATGGTGCTGTATTATAGGTGAGTTAGCTGCCATATTTCTTCCCATATTCTTATGAAAAAAAAATGCTATCAGCCCACTAAACTGGTAGGAGTGCCCTATACTGTCAAAACACTTCATAACTAGATTGTTTCTACTGACAATTTTACCTCTTAGAGAGTAGTGGAAGCAACTGGGGAAATTGCTACTCTGAACTTACTAACAAACAAAAGGGAAAAATTGGTTGGAAAAGTAAAAGTGATAAGAACCATGGGGACAGGAAATGATACTTTTTTAGAATTTAAAATCACAACAAAAGAAAATCCTGAACACATTTAGACAGTCATTAAGTCTTTGAAGAAAATGATTTTTATTAATTTAAAAACAAAGTGAAAATGGACTCAGGACATTAGAAACTAAGAAGGAAGATCGCAAGTGTTTCAGAATGTTCCACAAAATATAATTCTGCTTCCGTCATTATGGAAGGCATTTTGATGATACAGGACATGGGGGAAAAAAAAAAGGCTAATATAGCCACAAAGGATGCTTTTAAATCAAGTAATACCCTTGACTTAAAAAGACAAGCCAGTGGCAATTATAAATTAATGACACCTAAGAATGTTTTCAAGAAGTCTGGTTCATAGTGCATTCAAACTTACAAAAGTATTAAAGACATCCAAAAAAATTTTGCTCATTTTTGGAGCAAAAAAAAAAAAAAACCAAAGAAGGATCATCTTGAGGGAATATTATTGGATTATGAGAAAAAATAATGAAACTAAACTATTTTGCATTATCCTACAAGATGAATGATTACAGCATAGAATAGACTGACCAGATAGGAGTTGAAAGCCAGATCATAAGACATTTGAAGAGACACAGTAACATCTCAAAATGAGGCCAATTTTCTTAGATTAGGTGAATTACTCCTGGAGTGTTAAAATAACTTGCAAATGAATTTGCTGAAGAATATGTGATGGGCATTCATCTTTCAGAAATCCTAGTGAGTAGAGATGAGCTGGTGAAAGCCTAGAGAGAATCTAATGTCTTTCTAATATTCGAAAGAGCAGAGAACAAAGTGAAAAATCCTGAAGACCGTTCTTATCTGAATAACACTTTCAGAACTGATTATAATGGTATAGTTTATGAACTTCACAAAATGAAGCTGTTTTCATTAGGAAACAGTAAGTTTACTAATGGCAAGTTACATATTCTAATGCATTTTTCCTTCTCTCCATTGCTTTCGATGCTCCAACCACAGAGATCTCCCTTGCATCGAAAAACCTGGTATATAGGCTGGGTATCCCTTATCCAAGATACTTGGAGACAGAAAATTTTCAGATTTTGGAATATTTGCATATATATAATGAGATATCCTGTGATCGGACCCAAGTCTAAACACAAGAATTCATTTATGTTCCATATGCACCTTGTCCACTAGATTTAAGGTAACTTAATGCAATCTTTTTAATAATAATTTTGTGCATGAAACAAATTTTTGACTGCATTTTGACTGTGATCCATCACATGAGGTCAGGTGTGATATTTTCTATTTGTGGCATCATGTTGACATTCAAAAAGTTTCAGATTTTGGAGCATTTAAAATTTAGAATTTTCAGATTAGGAATTCTCAATCTGTAATAGAAATGCAGTAAATTTTGTTGAACAGATTACTCAATTTTCTCTGATGTGACATCCTCCAGTGGAGTTTTCCACACAGGGCCTCTGCGTATACTCTTCCGTCTGCCCGTAATGTTCTCACTCTCTTGATTGACACTTTCTTAAACCAAAATTTCTCTGACTCCAGGTCAGGGAAATTTTGGTCATAAACTCTTTGTAGGGCAGTTTTTGAGTGTAGGCCATCTCTTTTATAGATATTCTAAGAAAAGCTAGAGAAATATAAATTGGTTATGGGTTCAGTTAAGTTGAATAGCAACCTTGGATTAAATGACTATATCCAAGAGATAGAGATCAAGTAGTCTGGAGACAGTGCATGTTATATGCTAACTGTCACTTCACATGATAAAGCAGTGATTTATTTTCTTTGGCCAAAGCTGGTACAATTTGAACAACAAAATAAATACGAAAGTATTCATATGAGTAGTTTTAAGCACTTCCTGACTTTCTGGTACTACAAGATGCTCCAGGCAAGTATGACTTTTATACTTGCCAAAAAAGGTAAAAGTCAAGGCGTCATTCTCAGTTGTTTGGGTTCAGGTGGTTCTCTGTACTCTCTCCATAGGGAAACTTTCCAAGAATTTTGTGGTTTTTCTGCAGGATTTCTCACTGTAATGTCATAAGGACATTCTCTCTCCCATTGATCTTTTTCCCTTAGGCATATTCAGTTACCAACTAAATTAATAAGAGTCCGTCTTGGTAGACTTCCTATTTTAGGCTGTAAATGACATATAAGATAGATTTACAGATCAAATAAAACATTCTACTGTGGGGGAAAAATTTACTTCCACAAATGTGTTCTAAATAAGCTTTTTTTTTAGTTTAGAATAGTTTTAAATATACAAAAAAATGGAGAAAGTAGTACAAATAGTTTTCATATACCCATACCCAGTTTCCACTATTAGTAGCATCATGCATTATTGTGGTGCATTTGTCACAATTAATAAACTGATATTGATTATTATTTTTCATTGAAGTCCATATTTTATTTGTATTCCTTCATTTTTTCCTAATATCCTTCTTCTGTTCTGGGATCTCACCCAGGAAACCATATATTAATAATATTTAGTTGTCAAGTCCACTTAGGTTCCTCTTGACTGCTACTTTCTTCAGGCTTTCCTTATTTTTAATGACTTTGATGGTTTTGAGGAGTATTGGTTAGATATTTTGTAAAATGTCCCTGAATTGAAATTTTTCTAATTTTTTCCTCATGATTGAGTTTGAGTTATATAATTTGAGAAAGAAGAACATAGAGATAATTTGCTATTTCCATTCCATGATAACAATGGTACATACAATCAGCATGTCTTGTTTCTGTTAACTTTGGTCACACAGTTGAGGTGGAGTTTGTCAGAGTTTTATCAGTGTAAACTTATTCCCCACTGCCTTATACTATGTTCTTTGGAAATCACTATGCACAGCTCACACTCAAAAAGTGGGGAATTATTATCTAATTTCTTAAAGGCAGAGTACCTACATAAATTACTTGAAATTATTCTGCTTGGAAGATTTGTCTATGATCTCCATTTATTTATTTATTCAAATATTTATTTATGTCCCTATTTACTCATGGGTATTTATTTCGTAGTTTGGATTATAATCTAATACTGTCTTTTTATTTTGTTGCTCACATCGCTCCAGCTTTGGCAATTATGAGCTACATGCAGCATTATGGGTTTTTTGTTTGTTCGTTTTTTGGATTTTTTTTTAAGTACTTCTTTACTTTCTGCTACTACGTGCTGCTCCCAGGCTCATCTTGAATATTTCCTGCCTTGTGCTGGAATCAGTCATTCCCTCCCATGGAGGCCTGGCTTCTTTTATTCAAGAATGGTATTCAAAACCAAGATCTGGGTATGCTCATTGTGACTTTAGTGTCATTGTTTTTAGGCTCCCTCGACTGACAGAACGAGGACATAGATGTATGTACACTAACCCATATATATACACATAGTATAATCATTCGTGTATGTAACCATCTGTATCTATATTAAGCCAAACATGAGTTCATACTGAGGTCTCCAACTCTAATTCATATGGATCATTCTAGCCCCTTTTCCTTGATTACCTCAAAATCCATCTGAAAGAAACCTGGCTCCCACTATTCACCATTCAAATTACTTAAGTTCCTTGTTCAATTCCAGTATACATGTACGATTGTTTCAGAATTGTTCATTAATACACCTGAGAAGCAATATTATCCCTACATCACAGCATAATGTTTACGTAAAGTCCATGTTGTCTTTCGTCCTATAGACTCCACTCTTCCAAAGTTACTGAGGTCAATAGGTTTTTCTCACATGCTCTTCAGTGAAATTGCCTCATACATTGGTAATATAGATAGATTTTGGAGGGGGGTCACATTCTGCATTCCATTCTGGGATCCTTTATACTCCTAAATGTTTTTGCATGCAATAATCTTTAATCTTTATCTTAGGTTTTGGGTTTGACAGATACATAGTGTTATGTATTTACCATTGCAGCATCACACATAATAATTTCCTTGTTCTAAAAGAATCTCTTGTTTTTATTTAACCTTTCCCTTCCCCAAAAACCTTTGGAAACCATTGATCTGTTTGCCATCCCTCTAGCTGTGTCTTTCTCAGAATGTTATATAATTTGAATCATAAAATATGGAGCATTTTCAGACTGGCTTCCTTCACTTAGCCATATGCCCTCAAGATTCATCTGTGTCTTCACCTGGCTATATATCTCACTCTTTTTAATCACCAAATAGTATTCCATTGTATGAATGTACCAAAGTTTGTTTGTCTATTCATTTATTGAAGGATATCTTGATTACTTCCAATTTTGGTGGTTTATGAATAAGGCTGCTGTAACCATTCACGTGCAAGTGTTTTTGTGGCCATAATTTTTTTCAACTAAGATGGGTCAATATCTAGGAGCACAACTGCTAGATCATACAGTATGGCCATGTTTAGCTTTCTAAAGAGCTGCCAGTCTTACAAAATAGCTGTACCATTTTGTATATTCACTAGCAATAAATAAGTTGCTCAGCATCTTTGCCAGAATGAGTTGTCAGTTTCCTGGTTTTTTTTATCCTCCTAATAGATTTTAAGTGGTATCTCATTGTTATTTTAATATGTGTTTCCTTAATGACAAATGATGTTGAGAAAATTTTTCATATGCTTGTTGCCATTTCCTTTGATAATATGTCTGTTCATATTTTTTGCCCATTTTTAATTGATTACTGATTTTGTTGTTATTGACTTCTAACAAGTTGTTTGTTTTATTTTATTTTATGTGTTTATTCCTTTTTTTGACATGAAGTCTCTCTCTGTTGCCCAGGCTGGAGTGCAGTAGCGCAATCTCAGCTCATTACAGCCTCCACCTCCAGGGTTCAAGCAATTCTCCTGCCTCAGTCTCCTGTGTACCTGGGATTAATAAAGTCATGGGCCACCATGCCCAGCTACAAGTCTTTTATTAGACTTGTATTGTGAAAATATTTTCTTCTAGTCTTTGGCTTACCTTTTCATTTGCTTAGCAGTGTCCTTCATAGAGAAGAAAGTTTTAATTTACTAAAGTTTACTAGTTTTTCCCTTCTTGGATTGTGCTTTGAGTGTTGTATCGAAAAACTAATCACCAAACCCAAGGTCATGTAGATTTTTCTTCTGTGTTTTTTTCTCGAAGCTTTATAGTTTTGCATTTTACATTTAGATCTATGATCCAGCTTGAGTTAATTTTTGTGAAAAGGTTTAGGTCTGTGTCTGTGTTCAATTTTTGGACTTTCTGTTGTTGTTCCAGCACATGTTATTAGGTATACACACACTTAGGATCGCTATATATCCTGGGAGAATTATCCCTGTTATTATTAGGGAACACCTTTTTCTAACCTCATTTCTTCATTACTCTGAAGTCTGCTTGGTCTCAAATTAATGTAAGTTACTTCTATTTTCTTGTGATTAGTATTGGTGTGGTATGCCTGTCTTCATCTCTTTGCATTTAACCTGTCTCACTCTATTTTTAAAGTAGTTTTCTTGCACACTATATATTTGGGTCTTGTTTTGTAATTCACTCTGAAAATCCCTATCTTTCAAGTAGTTTATTTAGACTACTTATATTTAAAGTGATTACATGTATAATTGGATTAATATTTGTAACTATTTTCTATTTGGGAAATTTATTCTTTGTTTCCGCCTCATTCTTCAACTTTCTCTGGTTTAATTGAGCTTTTTATAGAATGCCATTTTCTTTCCTTAGAATTATAGTTATTTTTAAAGCTC